GCCAGTCATGGTTGAGGTCGGTTGCAGCTTTCAGAAAGCAAAGGTTAAAAAAGATGAAGGAGCTCATCCTTTTAAAATTAAAGTATGTAAGAAAAGGGGCGTGCAATTCTTCCCTCAAATTCTCACTTCAAATCAGCACCCAAATCTTGGTCCCTTTTGCTGTATTACATTGTAATGAATACTTTATATTTTAAGAGTAGCTTTAGAAAGAAGAGCTGGAAGCTGTCTTCCACTGTTAGCACTCACCCTTTAGTGTTTGTATAGATCTGGTGAGCCTAAGCAGTTGTGCTTTATGCCTTCTCAAACTTTTCAGCCTTCTCCAAACCTTTTTTTAAGAGAATTCCAGCCAATTTTCTCCTTTTTATTCTGTCTGTGTGCAAATTTTCACATCTTCTTCCAGCGAAATATGCAAATATATAATCCACTAGGATGTTTTTGATCTAGTCAGAAATTGCGGTTTTTTTAGGAGTCTTCACTAGACTTGCTGCTGCACTGTGGATGACCAAGTTCAGGTATTCCTCTGAATGGGGAATCATCAATGTCTGAGGCCAAATTTACCGATGTGTTCAGATTTACTCAATATTTAGTTGCAAGATGGGGCCAAGAACCTTGTACTGCTGTCTGGCTGGAGCCTGGGTCTGCCATGGGCTGCTGCAGGTGCAAGGACACCAACCTTGGGAAAAGGGTGCACGTCCTTCCTGTGGCATCTTTGCTACTGGGTGGAGCAGTTGGTACAGTCAGAGAGGAATTGAAAGGCTTTGTCAAAATCCATAGCACATTTTGCTTATTATAGCCATGCTTCATTAATCAAGATGAGAAACAGCCTTTAAGCGCTTCATTTCCTCTGTGGCAGGCCACTATATAATAGGGTACCTCAGGATAGAATATCAGAATTTTTCATCACTGTGTCATGTACTAAAGCAAGCATTTTTCCCTGTACATGGGCCACTGATGTAAGAAAGAATCACAGAATGGTGCGGGTTGGAAGGGACCTTGAAGATCTCCTAGTTCCAACCCCCCTGCCACAGGCAGGGATACCTTCCACTAGACCAGCTTGCTCAAAGCCCCATCCAACCTGACCTTGAACACTTCCAGGGATGAGGCATCTACAGCTTCTCTGGGCGACCTGTGCCAGTGCCTCACCACCCTCACTGTGAAGAATTTCTTCCTAATATCTAATCTAAATATTCCCTCTTCCATCTTAAAGCCATTGCCCCTTGTCCTATCACTCCATGCCCTTGTAGAACGACCCTCCCCGGCTTTCTTGTAGGCCCCTTTAGGTACTGGAAGGCTGCTCTAAGGTCTGCCCAGAGCCTTCTCTTCTCCAGGCTGAACAACGCCAACTCTCAGCCTGTCTTCATAGGGGAGGTGCTCCAGCCCTCGGATCATCTTTGTGGCCTCCTCTGGACTCACTCCAATAGGTCCATGTCCTTCTTGTGTTGGGGGCCCCAGAGCTGACCGCAGTACTCCAGGTGTATGGAAAAGTATAAAAGCATAAAATCGTAGTACAAAAGATCATCAAAGGGACAGAGCATTGAGCTGTGACTGAGGCCATGGTTAGAAGGTTATTTTAATCCAGCATAACATATATAGCAGCTGGAAGATGTAATTCACCTTCCTGTGGTCTCCCTTCAGCACTAGCATTTGTATGGCCAGGCAATAAACTGGAGTTACCGAGAACTAACCATAGGCTTTTGTTGGGTGAAGGATCAGCCAGACCGGTTCCTGAGGTGACTCTCTACATGGGTCTCCTAACACTGCGAGCAACACAAAGCAGGACACAGCAAAACACAGCCAGAAGTGGGGAGGGATGGGGGTAGGGGGAGAAAAGTGGCAGCAGGTCTGTACTTTTCCTCAGCAACATGGATTTAAATTAAATGATGGTGACATTAAATTGTGAGATCAGGAAACTTCAGTTTGTTTCAGCCACAGACTTACTGGATGAGCTCAAACAAGTAACTAAATCTTCTCTTGTTTCTAAGTTCCCCATTTAAAATCAAGGGACATAGGTCTGCCCTAACAGGGTAGCTGTGATTATTTAATTTGTCAGGTGAGAGTCATATAAAATACATTGATATAAACTAAAATACACAGAATGGGTTTTGCCCATTTCCTTTAATTTTTGAAAAGAAGTAAGTAGATGAAATCTTGTTCCCTTCAAAACCAAACAGAATCTTTCTTTGTGTAAAATGTTACATAAACCTTAGTGGTTGTTCATTTTTATTGCATTATTTTTAATAATACTGCAGATATTTCAGAAAAGGGCAATATTGTTTCTACTGCATAAAAAAATCATCATGATATAGTTGGTTTTTGCATTTTCCCCTTCATATTGTTTAAAAAAAACAAACAAACAAAACACAAATACTATTAGGAAATTTACCCTCCCACATCCCTCCCCACAAAAGAAAAATATGTTTTTAAAAATCAGTAAAGTGTTAAACAAGTCAGATATTAAATGCACACATTTACAAACATAGCACATTAGTAATACTGTATAATACTTTAGACCATGCCAAACCATATGTATGTGTATAAAGCTACAGGTGAAATGGTTCATAGCAGCAGAATAGGAAGCATGTTCCATACAAAGTACATAGTTCCTGTGGAGATACTTGGATGAGTACAAGAGTTCAAAGTACACTGAGAAGCTAAAATGCACGAGTCAAGTTTTTCTGTTACAGCAGTGTGTGTTACGATTCAAAGGGCAATCTTGACTTGTCTGGGATTTTCATTTTGTCTCTAATAGACAGCCAGTTGAGTGGTGTGGATTTTACTTCTTGGCACACTTTACTGTAAACATTCATGAGGAGTCCTGATTGCTGAAGATAACTTCATTGAAATCAAGGCCAAGTGTAACCTAATAGTGCATCTACTTTGCACATCCTTCATTAATAAGAAAATATGTTGGTGTTTACTCTGGGAGGGAACATAATACATCCCAAGGCCCGTATGTGGCTTTGGAGCCTTAGTTCTGCAGCTCTGGTGGGTGGAAAGACAGACCAGAAAGGGACACCAGATTAGAAATATTTATGTCTCATTAGGACTTCCAAAAATGTTATTTCTAGGTTTTGGAGTGGGCATTTTTTCAATGTCATTAAGTAGCCTTCAGTTGCTTCATTGTCTGTAACTCAGTCTGTGGTTTCAATTCTGGGAGCATTTCTCTTCCAGAAGTATCATTTTCCAATGGGACTGTGGTTTTCATTGGTAACCTCCAGTTCTGGATGCCAAGCTGAAGGTTCCCTCTGAGGGAAGCCAGCATTCACAAGATGATGGTTCTGTACCTTCATAAAAGCAGGCTCCTTCAAAATGTCCTTTCCTAAGCACCTAATGACAGAGACATGCCAAGGCAAGTAGGACTTAAAATACTGGAAGTAAAATTGTGGTAGAGAAGTTCTCTCTTAGACTTCCACCTTACCACACAAAAAATACAAATTTAAAGTAAAATTAAATAGATCTATTAGATTTAATGATGGTACTTGAGACAAAGTGATTCTATGAAAATGCTTTTTTAAGAGGTAACCATAAAATCTCAAAGAAAAGCTGACTACCTGTATAGTTCTATGTAATATTAAGATATACTTTGTGTCTTTTAGTGAAACATTTTCCTCCGTAGAAGGCCAGCAGGCACTTCTGTTTCTAATAACTCCAGATGCTGGTATCTGAGCTTTGGTGATTTTGAATTGCAGAGAAGACAGCAGATTTTAGGACATTTCTTCTGAGGTTAGACTGTTGTCTCGCCCCATCAAATATTGTGCAGTGTAGTGCAGTATTCCTCCAAAGGTTTCTCATAAAACCATTAAATAAAAAAACAGGACAAGAAAAAAAAATAGTTGTCCACAACAAATAATAGGGTTTGGAATACTGGCAGAAAAAAAAACCAACGCAAGAGAGAGACTAGAGATTTTCATACTGAGACTAGCATTTGCATACCTCATGGCAACAACCATCAATCAGCCGGATTCACATACAAAATCGGTTTTAAATCAGAGGGAGTCAGTTAATACAATTGCTAGAATGAAAAGGTCTGACATCACAAACCCAATACTCCTCCCTTTGCGAAACACAGAAGTCACAACATCCCTGTCTTAGTTCCTTCATCTGCACCATATATAAATTACCTCCTGGAACTCTTGTAGAGATTAAGAACCAATTACTCTGGCCTTCCACCAAGTTAAGCTCCTATTCTGATGTCAGTGCAAGTCTTGACACCACTCAGGGTAGAAGAAAGTGCCTTGAAGATGAGAAAAGCTACATAATGTACACATTGCCATTACAGGATCCTTGATTTCTTTTCAGAGGAATGAATAGATGTACAGACAGACAGACTGGCAACCAGACAAAGGGACAGACAGAGAGGCCAAGGTATGCAGAGGTCTAAACCTGCTCTTTTTTTCCTCAGAACATCTCCACATATATAAAGTAACCTTGATCTCCTGTTGTACAAGCACAGACAGACACATTTCACTTCAGGGGATGGGAAGTGTCAACCAAAATGAAGTACTGGCCACCTAGACACTAAAGTAAATGAAAAAGCTTCAAAGGTCTCCTGAAGCAGTACACATCATATTAAAGACCGTTAACGTACAAGAGCAGCAAAATTCGTAGCTCTTAAGAAATATTCTCTATCCAACCTCCAGAAAAACAGTGACTCAGAAGTGGGCCCATTCCACCACATTTTTAGACCTGTTGAAGGAAATGGAGGGTGGAGGGAAGGCAGTAAGAGCAGCTGAGGTGGTTCTTCCTGTCGGCTTCACAAAACTTGCCCTGAAAGAAGAGCTTGCTTAGGTGCAAAACTCAGTCTTGCAGCTGTCCTATCCTAGGGAAAGGCTGAATCGCACCCAGTCTGGTGCAAAAGCCACTGGCCTCAGCTGGAAAGGCTCCCTCTGATTTTAGTGGCCTTTGGATACAGCCCACATTTAGACAGTAATATGCAACAGCAAATACGTGTCATCTCCCCATCCCCTCACAATTTCTTCCAATATAAACAAAAGGACATTCTGGTCCCCTTTATATACATACATTAAAAGCTGAAATGGTCTGAAATGCTTACAGATTAGAACGCATATATCTATACAACATTACACCTGCCAGAAATCAAAGCAGAGAAGTTTTACAGCACATTATACAGGTCCCTCTAACTGCTAAAAAAACATTTACTGAAATCACCATATTACAAGAAGTCATCACTAACATACCATATAATACTATTTCTTTTTCTTTTACATAATCATTACTTATATAGTAATTTAAAAAAATCACTTTTAAACAAGTATACAATTTTCACTTTAAAATTAACTGGTTAATAAAATTTTGTGCAAAACAAGCCAGCCTCTATAATTAAGTGAATGTATTTATTTATTTATTTATACAAAAAAAATAAAACAAAAAAGATAGTTCTTTCAGAAATGTGTCTCCTTTTCTGTAATGGTTGAAATGGTGCCATCTCCTTTCAGTTTGGCATCGCAGTCATTTATTGCGGCCATGTAGGCTCCTCCAAGTTTCCCTTTCATTTTCAGATCTGAGCTAGGTGTAATCAACTTCCTGAATTTCTAGAAAATTTGAGAAAATGGAAATCATTATCTTTTTCTCGGTCACAGACACACATTTCTTAAACAGACTGACTATAAAACCTTCTTCTCTTGCATGTCTGCTTCTCATTTTTATGTTATAGGTACATCCATAAAACTGTGTGCCACACAATTCTTTACATATCATACCAGACCAAAGGCTAGAGAATGAAGGCAAAGACAAAGTTAAAGTGAATTTTCATGCTGATTTAGAGTAACATCCTCTTCCATGAAGAAACTCAGCACTGTGCTCTGGGTAAGGCCTGTTATAGGGGTACATTTTGTTTCTTATGGTATAGTCAAAGGATATACACAGAAAAAAATAAAGAAACAAGAGATTGCCAAAGTGTATTAAGATACAATAAAGAACAAAAGAAAACGATGTGTTCATCTCAGAACTTTCTGTTTTGTAGCAATAACATCAGTAGCAATGTTGCTGCTTACAGCTTGGGGGTCAGAGACGTTGCAGGAAGTTGGGTTCCTGAGAAGCTCCCAACTGTAATTAAAAAACCCCTCTCATTGTTCATGTATGGAAAAGATAATGACCTGTCTGCAGTGCTTCAGACTATAAACAAGGTCTGTTTACTTGCAGAGACAGGGTAAGGTTGATACATTAAGGAAATATTTAGTATTAAGGTTTGTGCAAAACTTCCTTTTTTTTTACACGCTAAGAAAACTGTATTATGGGCAATTCATTTTTTGTTTATAAACCCACAGTAAAAATTTCCTAGGTAGTCTCCAGGCCATATTTAATCAGCTTAATGGAGTCATTTCAATATAGACTGCCATCAGCCAGCACAATAAATTGTATGTTACCTTCTCCATTCAAGAAAGCAGTACCTATTACACTGAGATATACTCAGATATATTCAGATGTCATACCCTTTGGTTCTGAATGGAGGATAATCTTGAAAGCATGGGTATACACTGTGAGACAGATCTTTCAAAAGTGCTATGTAAGTTAATGAGCCCCAGGCACCCTAGACACAGAAATGCTTACTGTCTTGTTCTTCATATTGGCATTATTCTAGAGAGTATCAGAAAGACTGAGAAAGCACAAAAGAGACTGAATAAAGTCCTTTCCATATATGTATGGAGATAGAAGGAGGCAGTACTGGAATATCTACTTTTACTGACTAGTATCTAAGGAACTCTAGATGACAGAACTAGGCTTTTCTGCAATATGAGAAATCCCAAATGCCTGAATAAGATTTATGTTCTTGTTTCTTCCATTATAGCCATCTTCACTGTCTTTCTTTGGAGAAAAGCGTCTAATAATCTCAGCCTAGACCTGAGCTAACCTGGTACCAAATGTTAGTAAATTCCACTGAATACTTCTTTTTGCCTGTTATTTCTCACTTAGAGAACTGTAATCAGGAAAACTGTCCAGAAGACATATGTGAATGTTTGCTACCCAGCTCCTGGAGGAAAATCCAGGCAGCACAAACATTAGTTACCAAAAACATGGAAAGAAGGCAACTGACCTGAATGAATGGCTGGTACAAACCTTCTTCAAGGATTTAGCTGATGTTACAGACATTTTAAGCTACAAATTGAGCAGGAACAGAGTACCTTATAGCTATAGTATTGGTTAGTTTACCACAGGCTGAAGTCAGTGAAGGCAAAAAAAAAAAAAAAGAAATTCAGAAGAAAATAGAGAAAATTCAGATCCCTCTTTTCACCAGTGACTGAGAGGCCTAACCCAAGCTGCCACTGGAACAGGTATGTGGCATTGCTTTTTTTTGATTAAACTGTGCTTAGTCTTATGCAGGTGAGGATTCACACTCCCTTCCCATTTCTTTTTTCAGTATGATTAATCTGAAAAAGTATCTTACCTCTATGAAAGTGCCTTCTGTCTTCCACAGCTTAATGCCAATCCACAAAGGGATACAGATCATGGAAGAGAGCGCCATCATCCACCCTATGCCATAGCCCCAGTCAGGGTATATATATATATTGTTGTATTTCAAAGGCTTGTATTTCACCAGGAAAAAGATGAAGATTCCCTGAAATAAGCAGAGAAAAACATTAGTATTTGAAAAAAAACTGCCTATGTAACAAGAAAATGATTGACTGTTTAGGCAAGGCCAGTCTCCTTAAAGATGGAAAGTAGAGGTAAGCTTTTCAGTCAGAGAAAAAAAACACAACCAGCAGTATCTTCTTTTATGTACAGCTTACATAACATGTCTCAGTAGTTTCCACAGAAATGAACAACCTTTCAAGTTTAAATCCTATTTACCTCTTGATGACAATAAAACCTGCACTTTGATGGCAAACAGTACGTGGGTAGGAAAGATTAAGTTTTGCTACCGTGAACCAGCTGTGATTAGGTAATACAAGCTGCATCCTCTCCAACCTGTCATGATGAGAGAGGAAAGCCAAAATTTTCAAAGTTGCCTTAATCCACTGTCTGTATCTGCAGTTCTACAGGCCAAGTCTTTCATCCTCACAAAAGCTCAAATATATCTGTCTAAATTTGACAGGTATCTAATCAAGCAGTTTGGACTATTTAAATTTATGAAATACAGAAAAGCTACTATGTACTTTTCTCCAAAGTGGTGAAAAGACTGTACTAGAGCAAGTGATACTAAGTTCATTTCAGAGTTGGTGAAAATGAGTCAGAAATTTTCCCAAGTTTGCAAATGAACTGGCAGAGCTCAAGGGAACGTGGATTTCCAGGTGCCCCAGCATGTGTGGTTTTGCAGTTGCTATCATTTAGGTATTGGACAACTGGAAGGTTTTAGAATCTAATCCTCGTGCACTGTTGGATTAAATTTATGGGCTATCTGGTCATGTTCCTTTTGTAATTTTGTCCCTGTTTAGCCGCAGCAGATTGCCAGAGTTGGCACCAGAACTGCTAGCTTCTGGTAAGGCAAATTCCTTGCCCTCCTTCATGCATATGAAATGTGCCTCTGACCTCTTCTACTATTTTTGCTAGAAGAAAAAATGTCTTGTCTTCTTTGAAAAATGTCTACTTACCCAAAGACAGAGAAGGAAACAGGAGGCTGGAGCAGCAAGGAAACCAGCACAAGTCTGGAGGAGCTTGAGTTATGCTGGGTAGACACAAGGTATACTAGCGATGCAGTGAAAAAAAGCCTCCGTTGTATTGGCAAATGTTCATTTAGGGCCCTGAGTTTATTTTTTTCCTATTACTGTATAGACTAAGATTTCTTATAAATCACAGAGCATTTAACAATTTTTACAGATCCTACAGAGTGTTTTTTAATTAAAACATATGCTACAAATCAATAGGCATTTTTCTCAACTGTTGTGAACTATTGGCAGCAGCAAAATTCTAAAAATATGCACAGAAAACCCTCTGTATGTCTAAAAGGAGTTATTTGGATATTTTATACTTACTGCGCAAATACCTGGAGTTAAGACCATCCAGCACCATTTAATCAATGACAGTGGTTTGTACCCAATCATATCTTCAATGTTATCATAAAAGCGATTGCTGCCTGCTCCAAAAAACAAATGAAAGGCAGATGTAGAGTGTACATGTAAGAGGTTGTATAAGTCAGTATTTAAAACGGTAAAGAGAAGAACATAGGTTCTGACAGAGCTGCAAAGACTGATGCTGCTGTCTCCTTCCCTCACACATCTATCTCTGTTGTCTGCTCCATACTTGTGGCAAAGATTGCTGCCTACATCTGTATCTGACCAATATTAACAGAGAGGAGTGGGCAAGCTGCCAAACAGAAATGGCTTCTGGTCAGTAACAGGCTGAGCAAACCCAGTTAAAGAGTACATATATGCTACAAGGTCATGTGCGAATCCTGTGAATCCTTAGGTAGCTGGGGACATGTGTGATCTGAAGTTTGTATGTTATTTTACAAAGTAAAATTGTCAGTCCTTTGTGTGCAAAAAATGATTCAGAATGTAACCATGAACATACCCAGCACTGTGATGTTTTTCTCTTGACTTTGTTGACAGACAGAAACAGCAGAGCTAGGGACACAACTATGTCCCTTCTGTGATAATGAGGCATGAACTTCAACTTCCCTGGATTTATCCATGAGTGTCAGAAGTGGAAGGAAACACGCCCTGCACAGACACTTTGCAAGAGAAGAAAAACTTCTTGCCACCCCTACTTTGTAAGGCAGCTAAGGACTTCCTTGGTGAAGGAAGGTAGAGGCCAGTCCTGACAAGGACCAAGGAGGGGAAAAAAAATCTATTCCACTATCTTTGTTATTTAGAATGGGGGAAAAGGGCAGTCCTGACTTTTGGTAGGGCTTGGGAATGTGGAGGGCCCCACTCCATAAGGGTACAAGGCTTTCATGTTGCTTTTATGCAAATAGAAAACTTTCATAAAAACTGACAACCACAGCAATTTTCAGCAACTCACCGTAAACCCAGCCAATGCAGACACATTCAAATATGGCAACAAAAAGAAGGCACATGCCACTAGCTGCATAAGAGTCAAATAACTGAAAGACGTACATCCCACCCTGAAAGACAAAAACAGAAAAAGGAAAAAAAATACTGTGTTGGCAGCAGTAGGAATATTTCATAGCAATGGCTTTAATTACACAGTCAATCTGTTGGTTTCTTGACAATCTCCTGACTAAAGTTGGTTCCTTCTTGAACAAAGAACATTCATTTCTCAGTGATTTCTTACTGTGAAAGATTTTTTTATTCTATAGCACTTAAGATCAGTTCCTATGTCAGTTGAATACTGTGCATTTGCTTTAAGGTAGTAAATCCTGGAGTGGAGAGAACTACATTTGACTTATTTCCAAAACACTCTCCCACCTCCATGCTTTTTTTCAACTTTGTTTGTTATCACATCAAGGTAGATATCTACAGCTGCTTTTGATCTCCAGATCACTGCATATGAAGACGCAGGGTCTTGTCTTTGTGTCTGTGCTATTAATATGTAAAAGAATTAGTTAAAATGTGGGGAAAGAAGGCAAAAACTGTAGCTACTGGAATCACTCTCCAGTGGCATGGGGACTGTAAAATGAGTAAACTGACCTATAAAGTTTGAATGTAGCTCACAGCCTTTAAGCCACATTACTGAAACGAGTCACTATTATTTGACAAAAAAAAAAAAAAATCATCATCCTGACTCCAAGCAAGTTTTCTAAAAATGTTTTCCTAACAAGTTAAAAATTGTTCTCCAAATAGCTTTAAAATAGCAACCTGTGCACTTCCAGGAAGGAGAGCAACCAAAACCAAGCAGTTAGCACAGCATCCATACCCAATGCACACTATGCTCTCAATGATCTGTCATTTTCTGCCACACTATGAACCAGTATGAAAAAGGCAAATGTGCATATGAAATCCTCACTTACTTACTGACTATGACTCAACTGTATCAATTGTCACATCTATCAAAGACATAATTCTTTTCTTCTTTTCCTGTATTTTTTCTCTTGCTTACAATAACCAGAACTGTTCAGAGAACTGGCTGGCTTTCTAGACCCTTTGCCTCGAGGTAAGATGAGAAGAAAACCTATGAAGTCCAATTAATAACATTATGGATAACCTGACTATTAAAATTAAATGAGTAATATTATGCTGCCTTCTATGAAAGATACTTAATCTTTTATCACATATGCATTCAATATTGAAATAGTAATGAGGAGGAGAGTCACAAAAGATCGTTTCAATAGAAAGGAATCCTAAGACTTCCCTCTTTGCAGAAGGCTATGTGAAGGAAATAGGGGCTTGAGATCATCTCTCCAGTTGAAATGTAATGCTATTTGGGTAGTACATATGATCCATTACATCTCAGACAATTTTCTGCAAATGGAAGAGAACCCTAAAAACATAAAGAAAACTAAATCAAAAACAATACCTAGGATTTACCCCTTTTTTTCTCTGCATTAACTGACTGAAGGTAAGTTAAGATGGACTCTGTAAACCTGAAATCCTGTAGAACATAAGAATGTTCTAAAGTTACTGTATATAAAACTGCATTGATGTCCAAGCAGGCATTTGGCAGAACTAGTGCTGTATAGTCAGGAAATGACCATATATCTGAATGAGAAAGTTTTCCTATAAGGTAAAATATCTTTTATGAATAATCCAAAGCCTGAATAAAATCCAGTAATGTCTATATAGAAATGCAGGAGAGGATAAGGACAGAGTTGGGATATATATTTACCCTTGGAAGTCTCACTCATGCATAATGCTTTGATGCCTTACTGGAGTACCATGGAATGGAGCATTCTTGATCAGTGTGTCATTTCTGCATTTGATCACAGCTACTTAGATTGCCTAGTTGATGACGTAAATAAGTCACATCTCTCAGTAATAACTTATGTCTCTCTAGCGACACAGAAAAAAAAGTGTTTCTCTGTCCTTTAAGGTTTCTGTTGCGCAAAAAGTTATAGTAAAAGCACTGTGGAATGTCAGCCCTCCCAGACCAGAATGCAAACGTTGAAGTAAAATTTTTTAATTGAAAGAGATTATTTTTTTTTCCTCCTAATGCAGATCCTTTTTTTGATTATTAGCTACACTGCTTTTAGTCAGCTCTGCCAGCTGACAGCTTCCCAAAATCTCACAAGTGAACATCTTTACTGCAAAGAGCTTACCACGAGGTTCAGCAAATATCTGAGCAAATTGGAAACTTAGAGATCAACCAACTAAGACCATGCAATGTAAGGAAAATGATTCTGCAAAACTCCTGCAAGAATATTCCTGTCATTTTGAAGAACTTGCTTTCTCTTCACTCCTCATGCTTACATTGCTTTTAGCCTGTACATCTCGATAATGTGTATCTCAGTGCTCTGCTTAACACTTGGGAGGAATTATTCCAAAATTTCCCTGTTTTACATAGCAAAGACAATTTATCTTACCAAGGGTAAGAATGACTACGGGCAAATTGGTCCCTATAAGGTTGCTCTGCTCCAGTGCTCTACTTATAGGGACACACATCTGGAAGGAATTCTTAATCAACCAGTGTCAATTCCTCTTTCTCACAGGGAACTACGTCACATAATACCTTTCATAAACTATCTGACAAGCTGACTTCCAGTTTAAAGCTAGAACTATTTTCTTAGAAAAACTTCTAGACGTTACTGTTCTGATGGATAAAAATCCTTTCTTAAGGTTCAGCCTAATTATTCATGGCCAGTTTATACACCCTGGATTGGGGATGAGGGAAAGGAAGCCATTCTTTTTGCAGAAATAGATCATGTTATTCACTGTTACATCTATGATGTACTTACAGAAAGCAATCATACATCCTTGATAATATTATCATTATTTTGCTAGTTTCTGGTAAAATATACTCCTAGGATCATCTTCACTGCTCTTGCTTTGCATGCTATTCCAGTCTGACTACAAGTATCCAGAGTCACATGTAATATTTCAGTGGGACTATTACCTTGTCCAGTCATGGGACTATTCCCATCTCTCAATTGGAAATACCTTCCCGAAACATTTAAGAAATACAGTTTTATGTCTACAGCCTATTTGTAGTGCTTAGTTTCACATCCAGATACTTCTTTTTCCTAATTGTTTTCAATGCCTAGTAGAAATGTTTACTACTATATGGATGACCTTATACCTTAGGCTGCTACAGTCTACCCCATCTTTAATACTCCAGTCACCCAGTCCTTCCCTACCATTATGCCTTCTTCTGTGACCCAGGAACATCAGAGTTAATGAAGCCTGATTTGGACTTAAATCTTATAGATGACTGTGAGCCCTTATTCATGCACTCATTAGGCTACAGCGTTTTTGTGAATTCTCTGGTTTTTAATAAAGACTGAACTCATGCTTTGTTCTTTTGAACAATAAGGACACTTCTAGGACTTCTCTATCTGGCTGCCAACTTTCATGAATGTTGAATTTTCATGAAAAAGCGACTTAGCTTTGAAACTTCTGTTAAATTGACTGAAATCTGCCAATAAGTTCAAAATTTAAAATGAAGAGGGAATACATCACCAGAGAGCTAGTCTCACATAGCCAATGACTATATGTGACTTGTTTCCATAGCAAGTCAACTACAGATACTAGATAAAATTGCTACCAAGAGCTGTCTGTCACTAAGAATCTCCTTTAACAGCAAGTCACTATCTCCTCTTTGTCCAGTTACTTGTACAAGTCCTTTTCTTGTGAATAAAATTAATAATTTTTCTTGTAGTGAATTTTCAGTTCCTTCACTGAAGTATAAAACTTCTGCTCAACTGCATTTGCTTCATAGAGTGTCGTATCTCTTATCAGAGAAAGAGATCTGATTCGTCTGGCACAAACTGTCACTAAAAAAAAAAACAAACAACTTTCATTTTGTCCTAGTCTCCACTTTTCGACCCATCTTTAGTTATTCTTTCCTTGAAAGTGTATCTAAAACTAATATATTCTGATTAGTTGATTTATTCTATTTGTTGTAAAAGCTTGTGTACTCAGGACAACAGACTAACATGTTTACAATTGCCTAACACCTTTTTTTTGGGTGAAACTTGCTCATTTTCAGTAACACAGCAATTTGAAAAGCACGTAGTCTAAGGACTGTAGGTCTCTGTAGAGGGAATTTAAGTGACCCCAGATGAGGTCATGAAGTCCTGGGAGGCTGCTTCAGTGGGCAAGGCTGCCTGAAACTGCTGCACCACAGAGACACATCGTGGCCCTTCAGGGTTAATACAGCCAGGCTTCCTCAGACAAACCTTTCTCGGACAATTCTACAGGTCCTCAGACATGAAACTTTTTCTTTGCCTCGCTCCCTGCTGCAGGAAGGCTCTAACGGCCCAGCAAGCAGAAGAATATGAGCAGAGGAGAGTGGGGCTTCTGCCTCTCTTCTTCCTGTCTTGAGAGGGTAAAGTGAAGGAGAGGAAGACTGTTGATAGAACTCATTTTGTAAAGCAAGCTCCAAACTACCAAGTACCAAAGGATCCCAGAGTCCCTCCCCTTCTTGGGAAGCAAACACAGTAGTGGCAGAGATGTTGTATCATGAACTGATGGGATGGATTGACACCCTCAGAATTTTTGGTTTGGAACATCCTAAAATAAACCCTGGTTTGTTTGAAAAACATTTTTTTCTTTTTTTTTATTTCACTCTTACTGAAGCAATTTCTGCTCAGAGATTGGCTGTATTGATTGACCTGGCCTGGTGATATAAAAATCAAAGGCATTTTAGTTTTCTATTTTCACTTTACTTCATCTTCTTTATTGATCTATTCATCCAAAATGTAGTTGTTTTCAGACTGGTCTGCCCAGAGTAGGTAAGCAGAAACCATGATCGGTATATCTGGTTTGCTGCTGCAAAGCAGATGGAATTTCCTTGGCTACATAACTTTGATTAAAATATTTCTTAAGCTCAACTGAAAAACTGAGGATACATTTCACATTTCAAATGTTACACAGTAGTTGAGAACAGTCTCTCAAGTATTTTGTAGTCATATTCCTGATAGTGAAATTTGTCTATGGCAAATGTTCTTGCATTTTATCTGTTATGATTATAAACAGAAACCCATTTCCTTTTATCTGCAGTAGTACAACAAAGCACAGCTTACCTCAGTTAACATTATTAGGCCAATGAAGTATGATACAATGGAAAGGCCGAGAATCAACAGTTCTCTTCTGTAGCCCCTTCGGAAAATCTTTGGATACATATCTACAACAGCTGTCACAAGGCTTTCAACACACACGAACTAGAACAAATGATAGGAAAGTATAAATGAAATATGTGTCTCATCTGCTGTTGGGATTTGGATTTGCTACAAAACACTTCAAATATCCTTCTATGTTCTCATCATAGAGACTGGATGATCCCTGAGGACACTCTATAAGTAGAAGCTCAAACTGAGAGGAATGTCATTTCAGAATTAAAAAGTCCAAAGCTATGGATTTCCAGTCCCCCACCAAATTCAAAAAGTTGAATCCTCTAATATTATCTCACAATGCATTTGCCCTGTAGCAGATGGATTACATAAAAATTAAATCTTTCAAATGTGGCTTGAAGGGGACTGAAATAATGTACAAACCATTCATAGGACTGCAGCAGAATTTCACTCTTAAGTGTCCTGCACTTCTGTCACTCAAAGGAACGATATGCAGTGCTGTGCACCTTCAGGCACTGCTAAATGAACTGCAGGTTTTTGGGATAAGTTCTCCCCATTCTACAGAAGAGAGAGATTCCACAAAGCTATTATTAAGTGCTCAAGCCAAGTACATCTCATGAAGGAGGGAAGGAACATTCTTACTAACTTTGAAAATCAGCAGAAAGCAAGAGGCTCAAGCTTCTGACTCTGGGCTCTGGAGCAAGGTTTCTAAAATAGGCACCAAAATTAATGCCCAAAAGTAGACAATATGAAGCCTGCTTCCCTGGAGCAGTCAAGAGTAGAATTCAGGAATTGCTCATTTTAAAAAAGACTTTTAAAAAGATTGTTAGATCACAAAAAAGAGCAGTTATTAAAACATTAAGTTTAATGATTGGAAATGTCATGCAAAATAAGCACTGAAGAGCTTTATCCTACAGTATACAGTCATAAACCTGCTGAAGCAAATTATGCCAAGATCTGAGCTGCATGCTGAAAATGCTCACTACTTTACATTCTTCATCAAACAGCTTTCACAATTTTTATGGTCACACAGGAAGGACAACTTCTATGCTGCCACTCTGCTGCAGAATATGACTACACATTTCTTGCTATGGTATCCTGAACCATAAATACACCATAGGAACTTACATTATCGCTATCTGATATCCAGCTTCAAAATTCATTGCAAAGTGCTTTAAAAATGGGAAAAGAAGATGCACTGGTATTTTACTGAACTCTGAATTTTAATCACCCATATTTAAGTTCAAACTGATTTCCATGTTAATAATGAAAGCTAGAGTCAGGCTGAATCAGTGTTCACAGTAAATCATAAAGGAATCTCCAGCATCACATAACTAAGATTTAAAATAAGGAACTTGTATGAATGCTTTTAAGCGAAGAATTAAGTTAGGGTTCGTTCTTTCATCATATTAGATGCTGTTTACATCAAGCATGCTGATAGACACATGCTAGAGAATCTGACAAAATATTTAAACGGCATTTGTTTCATACCTGACTATCTAATCCAAGGAATATGAGCATCATGAAGAACAGAGTTGCCCACAGAGGAGAAAGAGGCATCATGGTAACAGCTTTAGGGTAAGCAATGAATGCAAGTCCTGGTCCTGAAAAGGAAGAACAGGAAGGAAATAGTTTATACTTGTGTACTGGGTCTGGCTGAAGGGGAGTTAACTTTCTTCGTAACAGCCTGTACAGTGTTACGTTTTGGATTTGTAGATAGAACAGCATTGCTAACTCCAAGATTGTGGCTATTGCTGAACAGTGCTTGCACAGCATCGCTTATTAAACTTTGTCTGGATGCACCTGTTTCTCACTTTTTCTCTTCCTGTTCCCTTCCCCATCCCACTGGAATGGGCGAGTGAGTGAACAGCAGTGTGGGTGCTTACCTGCTGGTGACGGTCAACCCACCACGAATTGGTTGTTCTTTTATGGCAGATAAGAGGAGCTAAATACAACATGGAAAACCTTGACAAACTCTACATCTCTAATAGTCTAAATATTTGGTGATGAGGCTAATCACTAATGAAGACTTGCTTGGCACATCAGCTCTGCCTATGTCCTGTCCAAATGTTTGAAAGTCAAGACTTCTGTTAAGACATCATTGTACTTTATGTTCTCCTTCTTTGTGTGGATGTACAGCAAGACTCACAGACCTGAATAAATAATAGCATGTGGTCCTGTGATTGCCTTACAAATCTTATTAACATATTCTGGAATAGTTTGTGGGTTTTTTTTTTTCCCCTAAGACAGAACTGTACCTGACATTTTGTGCAAGAATGCAGCCAATGGTAAGAGCTGCATCTTGGAAGCCATACATAGTGCAAGCCAAACGTCTACCGTTTTGTTCAAAATCTGCTCTGCATTTTTGAGTGCTGCTGCTGGTACATAACATTAATTCATTGGCTGCATATTTACAGAAATCTTTAAAATAGAACATTTTTGCAATAGCATTGGTAACTTCTCAGATCTGCTAAAAAACCATTTCACTTAGCTGATATTTTCCTGTTCTTATTTACCTGTGCCCATTTTTCAGCTGCTGCAAGCTCTCATGCTTTAATAGCTTTTAAAGCAGGGGTACAAATGCAGTATCACAAGGCTGATAAAGAATTACCTCTGTGCTCCTGTTGCAATAACTTCAGTGAAGACCTGTCAAAACACTACTGCTTTTTCATTTAACGCAGTCTTTACAAGATCCTATAGTTTACAGAGTAGCTGTAAACTCTTTTAACCTTTTTCTATATAGTTTCTATAATAGTATAAGGCAGTTGTCTTGGGGGCTTTAGGAAAAGAGAAATATTTTGTATGACAGTGTCAGTGAAGCTCTACTTGCTTTGCAGTTTTCCTGCTAACCTTGAGTAACTTCATGAGAGTCGTTTCTCCTTCTCAACAGTTTAGCATTATACTGCTTTTCTTTCTGGGCAGCTCTCCTGCTCTTTTTGTTCTGCTGAGTTTTAAGTGATGCTTAAAGATGTTACATCTGCAAAGGTGTTAACAAGCAATTAACTTTCATTGGATGCCTAACTCTAAGTGATGGTAATGAACTTTAGATGGTTAATTTCTCGTAGAGATGGGCCTTTGTGCCTTTCTGGACTCAAAACAAGAACTTTTATGCTTAATCAACCAGAGTGTCTCAGTGTATGTCCCTGGGAGAAAAACTTACTGACATTAGGAGATGGCATTAGCTGTCTGACTGTTACAAACCTGTATTTGGATAGTATACATTAAACAAGACCTCAGAGGACTTCCGAAGATTCCTTGTAAACAGATGGTTTCTTGGTTTCTCATTACTTTAATAGCTATATCTTTTTTCATTTTCTTTTTTTTTTTTTTTTTTCCAGAAGGAACAAATATTTGTGTGGATTTTGGTCTGTTTAAAGAAAACTGAATGCTCCTTTCATGAGGCTACTCAAGGGGCATAACTGACCGATATATCTCTGCTAAACAATCTTCTGGATGCTCAGCTGGAGTAAGTTTGTGTTACGATAGCTCCTTGACTTTATGAATTTGGTGCTATGCACAGTAACATCAATATTTTTCACACATAAATGCATGACCATAAAAATAGTTAAGAACTCTTCTTATAGCAGTTATGAGTCAGGTAACATGCTTTTAAGAGGAGTTTTGTAAAACTATCTGCACAACAGTCAACTTATCCATAAGACATGGCACAGACTAAGTATTCTGACAGCAAACTCTGGGCATTTTTTGTTAACTCAGAAAACTACTTTTGGAACTTACCTGATTCTGCAACTTCTGCAATGGGCACGCCTTGTTCATAAGCCATAAATCCAAGAACTGAAAAGATAGCAAAACCAGCAACAAAGCTTGTGCCACTGTTCAAGCAGCAGAGCATGATGCAGTCTCTGAAAATATAAATAAAAAACACTGCAGTTGATCTCCAGAGCCTGAGTTTCTTTCATATACTGAGCCACAGGACTAATAGAACCCCAAGCCGCAGGAATGAACATTAAGAGTAAGTTCCCAACTGATACTATGGCCCGAGAGAAATCAGTCAGGCATACGCGTTTGCAGGAAGATACCATCATAACACCCTTGCCTGTGTTTTAACTGGTTGAATTGCAAACCTCTTGCTACCCACTTACTGGTTTTCAATAGAATCTTTAAAAAACATGTAAAAATACTGTAAGAATGGTGTTAAGAATGACTTTTCTGTAGTAGTTGTAATAATGTATTCCGGAGGATATGAACTCATTTATAAACTATGTAAAAACGGTAGTAATTTGTTTCCTGGAAAAAAATCCTATGGTCAGATGTTAGCTAATTCTATTCCAGTTACAGTGTATTAGCAATATATATATCCATATGAAATACAACTCCAGTTTGGTTTATAAACTTAATATATATACATAATCTAAGAAGTGTGTACATGCCTAAAAAAGTGCCTAAGTAGGCAAAGATAGTGCAGGGACACTGATCTTTCAGACCAGTGTATCCTACACATCAAACAATGACAATTACAAGGCCAAGTTGAAGAAATATTTTGTTTCCCAGATTGGAAATGTCACAATAGTAAATCACTTTGAAAAAAGGGAAAATACTCTTGCAGAAAGGTGTGATCTTGCCCCAGAGCTCAGTGAAATATTGTTGTTCATCCTGCTTTCAGACAGCACCTCAAGCTTGACAGATGATGAGGTAGGAATGATTTATCATGACAGTCAGTCTTTTAAGACTGTTTGCTACGAGAGACAGCTGTGTACTTGAGAAAGTAATAATCTAACCTAGATGACTGAAAGTAAATTAGGATTCTAAAACGCTGAAACACAAGGCAAGCCTGTAGCTCTGTCAAGCCTATAACTTAGTCTGGTTTATTCCCATCCTACTACAGCTCTGAAGCAAATTTTTGTACAAGCTATCTATGAGAAGAAATGACCTTGTAAAATCTAACAGGTTTTGAATCCACATCTTCAATAACAATTCCCATCTTTGTCACAGATTTGTAGTGGCTTTTTAAGAATCAGAGACAATTTATATTTTTGAAGTCCTGGCATATATTCTGGCAAAACTTCTTTGGTAACCTCTCTGTCCTGTTGCTTGTTTTCTTTGGTATTTTTATCCTGTAACTTTATCTCATCAGTTTATTAAGTTGAAAGCGAGGTGACCAGTTCCAGCATTTTATTCCTTCAGTCATGAGCCCTGCACTGCATCCCACATCTGTTCAAAGCTCTGTTACTTTGACTCACCTTAGCATCAGGCACATACATTCTAAACGGCAGGAAGTAAGCATACATTTCAATACTGCAAAGTAAGTGATCAGCTGAGCTATGGCCATTGGGCCATGGGAGGCTTTGGCTCTCTCTCTCATCACCTTATCTACAGTTAATTTTAACCATTATTTTGAGAATGTTTTAATGTTTTCATAATAATTTCATAGTAAAAAAAAAAAATATCTGTATGGCTTATCATCTATAAATTGCCAAAATTTGTCCAGAAACAAAAAGGAATGAATATTCCCATTTGTAGATCAAGATTCAGACATGGAGAAGTCCAGTGATGTTCACATTTCTTTCATGCATGGGCTCTTTCTAACACTGTTTCTTCATTAGCAAGGGTAAATAAGTCCTTTAAAATATTTTCTGAAAATTCTGAAAATGGTCAGAATTCTAACCTGTTATTTATTTGCTTTTCATATGAAATTGCTTCCTGTAGTTATGCACAGCCAGGCTAGTTACAGACTTTGGATGTTTTAAAGCAAAATAGCAATCTAAAAGAAAGCAACAAGGCGCACAGAGTTCTTTGTGCTTTGCAGATAAATAAAACAAAGAAAAATATCATCTTCCTAACCATTCTTCTCAGTGTATTTCAGCACTGAAGTAGCTCTAGAAAGATTCTCACCCCAGCCTACCTCCTCCAAGAAACTGGTGAGTTCAGTGCTAAGAAATTAAAACTAAGTATGATGAAACTCGTCGATAAGAAATGTTAGAAAGACGTACTTTTTAATCCTTTGGGGGAAGAAAAAAGAGATACTACTTCAGTGGGATGGATCTGGCTGCTCACCAGCCATACAATGCCTCCATTTGGAACAACCTGTTTTCTGCAGATAAGATTTATTTTGGATAATTCCCAGGCTTCAAATGCAGTCCAAACAACAAGATTTTTTTTTCTTTTTTTCTGGTGAATGGTGTGGCACAGGACGTTTGAGAGCTGCTGATTCCTAACCATGCGAAAAACGGTTGAGGACCAGACACATTGCTCCCTGTGCACCTTCAGAGCCCCTGGCAGTTTCTGCTGCTTCCTCTTGAAGGAAGGTCCTAGGGCAAGGCCCAAGTGGTTTAAGCTGGACTGTCCTATATAACTAGATCTTCTGTGAGAGAACAAGAGGAGCACAGACGTTTCTGCATCCACAGGGGAGACCCACGAACTACAGTGCCATGGTACAAGATAGTTACAGGGCAGATCTGCATTTCTCCAAGGGAAATGGGCAAAAGTGAACCTAAGGGGATTTTCATCACCTCCAGTGAGTGAGGTACCTATTCTTTTGACACAACACAGCCACAGCTCCATCATTTTCCTCCCCAGTTAGACAGTCACAGACTGAACACTCACTTCTCTGGGGACCTAGCAGTGTTTCTTGTCCTAATAAAAATATACCCTCCAATTTTAATTTCCATTCTTCCTTTATCTTTGCAGGAATTCTACTAACCCCTCAACTCCTATTTTTTTCCCTTAGATAGAAGTGCGTAAACTATAGTTCAGTCTTTTCCTCTACCATGGACAGGAAAACTGAGAGGGGGATCTGGATCCATCGATTGTGAAACCAATGAATTTGAAAACACAAATTCCCAAGAACCATTGGAAGGAGAATGGAAAATTTATCTAATTTTCCATTAAGTTTTTATAAGCATCCTTGGTAGGAAGGCGTCAGAGCCTGACTAAAGCCCAAATGGATTTCAAATGAAAGGAGAACTTCAAATTTTTATGAAAACTTCACATTCTTCCAAATTAATGTCTTGCCAATCACCTGAATAATTCAACACATGCATCTCTTATCCTCTCCCTGCCTGACAGGCAGGATACTGGTGAAAAATTGATTCTGCCTTCCTTAAGAAGCTTCTCTGATTACAGAGAAGAGCCCACAGAGCCTTTTGCATCCCTCCAGTTACTTCCTTGCCTTTGTGGATCCCCTCAAGACCAATTCCCATTCCTCTTTTCCTCTTAGACTAGAAGCTTGAAAAAGGACACATTGCCATTACTTCAAGTTTTGTCCATTTGTTGAGAATGTGTGAAATCACTCATTTATCTTCTGCACCACAGTGGCAACATGGCAGCTAACCCCTGATTTGTACATGGGGCTCATACATAAAAATTGTGCAGCCTCCAGTACAAAGGAGTGGTGGTGTGAAACCAAATGGCGTTTCCCCTGATGGGGAACTGCACAGTGTCCAGCAGGGAGCTGGATCTGTCCTGCAAATACAGAGCACACAAAGCAGGAACAGGAACACCTTCCTCTTCGGTCTGCTGAGGTTGTCTGAAATTAATCCGTCCCTTAAGAAGGTATGAATGGACTAGGGATTCTTAGCTCACTAAAAATTTGAGGAAACATCAGTACACCTTTCTTTTATTTATACCGGAAAAACATTGCCTGCTGATAGTACTGCCATTACTTTAATCTCTTATGAAGAGTTGCTTTCGATATAAACTGTTGTAAATCCAGGGAGGATCTCAATTAATGTATTACAATGAAAGGTAAGTAAGGACAATAAAAATTCATTTCCTATTCAAAGATGCGAAGTGACTTAGATCAGGTTGCTAATAAGAAAAACCCACGTGCAGTTTAGATTTTCCCATTTCCCGCTAAAATACTTCATGTCATTATTTTCCACTGCAACTTTTCCTTAGAAAAAAAAAATTTAGTAAAACAGAGTGCAAAACCAATAGAAGTACATGTTACAATCAGACAATACGCCGCGGGTAATGCAAGAGGCAAATACATAGCTTGATTTTAATTTTTTAAAGTACTAGTTAGAATACAAATTTAATTCTGCTTTCCACTGCATAACTGCTTTGTATGCCTTGGTCTGTTAACAGCCCTCTTTAACTCAGCTGCTTTCTGCAGCTAACTTCTGTCCTACTCCTTTCCTCAGACTTCTTAAGAATCATACTTTGGGACACAATAAAATCTGTCCTATTCAGAAAATTTGTGAAAACACTTTGTTAGAGGAATTGTGAAGCTTGGATTCAGTGAAAAGTATTCTGTGGCAGCATTTTGCTCAGCAGCTTTAAAAAAGAGCTGCTGCTGTTTCTTACAAGCCATGCTGCTAGGTCAGACGAAAAGAAGGAAAATTACATAAGCTCTCTGGTCACACATCAAAACTCCTGCTTTTTGTAATGAGTTAGAAAACCATAGTAAAAAGATTACTGCTGTCCTTGAGGCAGTGACAGAATAGTTTCTAGATGGGATGCAACTGGGGGGAAAAAAAAAAATTAACTAAGAGAGAAAAGGAGTAGTGCCTTTGTTAAAGCATCACTTATGCTAATTAGGGAAAACTTTCATTACCCACTGTTCTGGAGGGGCATTCATTACTCTCTGTTGGGGCATCTCTATTGTTATTCTGAAATAATGTCAGTCAGCATTGAAAATCATAGGAGACTTACACTACTTTACGCAGCAAAATATTTGGAATTTTGGCTGTCATAGCCAAGCAAATTTTAACTCCTGTTGCTGCTAAGTTACTTTGCATGTTTAGATGGCAAAGTACCCTTAACTGCTGCTGGATAGCTTTGCAGCCATGGTGGATTCATTCGTGTCTCTGTGGTTTCCAGTATCCCAATTCCCTCTCTGTTTGGAGGGTCCTACTGTTTGGTGTGTCTCTGACAGAAGAGCAAATTGTTGGTAAGACATTGAAAGAAGGCGGCATTTCCTAAAACTGTCTCCTGAACTCTCCAAGTAAAACTGTAATTTAGAATTTAAATACTTACCCTTTGGGGGTTTTAGGGGTAGTGTGTTCGGGGTTCTTTTGCTTTTACTTTTGGACTGGATTATTTCCGTTATAGAAAAATGAAATTTTAATTCTCTGTCTGGACATCATAATGGAGTCAGTACAATCAAGCTGTCATTTACTGTCTTGTATTAAAGGCTGTTGAACAGTAGGAAAACTAATTCAATAACTACTGATGCCAGAAGAAAAAAGTAGGCTCATATACCTGCTGATGCCAGTAAAATGGAATGAGGATTTTGTGTGAGTCATATGCTTTTGATGTTGATTCAGGAAAGATTAAAACCTACTGAACTCATTAGCAATTTCCTTACTGATTTCTATAAAGATAAGCAATGAAATGCTATCCATTTCTACTGTGCTCTAGCTAGAGGCCAGTAAACTACAGGAAAAAGTGACATTCAGAGTGTAGACCAAACTCAGGTGAGTTTTAGCAACAAATTTTTTGTAGCATTTTTTTTTAGGCAGATATACATTAAAAATCGAATATTGCACACACATACAATTATACATGTATAAAATTCTGTATATTATGCATGCAATTGTGTATACCTGTGTGTACCGAGTGGCTTTTTGCTTATTCAAAGGGGAGAGACA